AAGTTAAGGTTATTTACAGTAGAATCACAAAAATACTATACTCGTGGAGAAAGTTAAATTACTTCGAAAGTCGACAAGATAGTCATAATTTTTACTAAAAGAATAATTGCGATAAAGTAATACGGTTAACTGTTAAAAGAAAATATTATAGTTATATAATTATAAATGTTAAAAAACTTACAATCTAATAATAAATTTCCCCTATATGTAATTATTTTCACTTTGAGCCCTTATTTGTGATTTTTTATTATTTTACTGGCCGTTATATGTAAATTCCCCTTAAATTAAGCAAGAACGAAAACCTGCTATAATATATGATTTGCCTATATGGCATATATACAAATCTAATATTACAATTCTTTGTTTTCAATTTACAACTGTTATGATTCTTTGATTTGGATTTAAAAATTTAATCGTCTTTATTCTTTTTCTTTAAATGCATTTAAATTTAGCATGATTCGAAAGTTTATCGTTTATTAAGCACATTATTTTATCTAACATTGACTAAATAAGGAACCTTCCACATTACTATATTGAGTAGTGCACCCTCCAAATTTATTCATACAATACAGTACCGCTGAAAAAAGCCTAGTTTGAGACTTGATTCTTTTCAAATTTAAGGTTTGAACTGAAGTCAAACAAAACCAGACCAACTACTTAAGAACTTCAATAAACGGTCTGGAACTTAAGTTCTTTTGGACCGCTTAACATCCCTAGCATCTTCAGTATCATCGTTATCCTCAGTCCTTTGTGCGTTATTTCTTTTTGTTTGATTATAACTAGACCTATTTCTTGTTTCTTCCATAAATTTTCGTCTATTCAAATAATATAGTTTCTCATCTTCACCTAAGAAAACACGGTTCGTAAAATAAATCAAAAAATAAACGATCAGAATCATTAAACGAACCTTCAAGCGCTTTAAAGACAGGCTTGAAACCATCAAATTCTAGGTCGTCATTTTGAATCGAGGACGCAACTTTTAAAGCGATTGGTTTCTCAAAATGGATTATTCCGCTTCTAAGCTGCTGATCTAATTTGACAAACACAACACTACCATAACCTGTTTCCATTTTGGCCTGTATTTAATTCCATGATATCAAAGTTAATAATACATCGCATTATCAACTTTATGACATTTTAATCCAGTATAAATAATACCTTAATGTCTTCCCAACGAACATTAGGTCCAGCTCCCTCAAAACGTAATAAGCAATCCTTTTCATACTTAAACGAGTCTAATTTATGTTTCAATCTTGAATTTGTCTTCGGAATATGCGGTATTTGCTTGCGCATAGTATCAGGATCCAATCCTTTTTCAACGCACTTCATTTCACAATAATCAAACCTACCATAAAATGTTTTTACGATAAAGACAACAATAATGACAATCTAATCTATCGTTTAATAATAATAATAATAATAATAATAATAATAATAATAATAATTTACTTCATCATTATTGTTAATTTTACGTCATTAAAAAACAGTTCCATCTCTGATATCCTTTTTGCTTCTTCGTGTGTCTCAAATTGTATAAAGTATGACCCCTTAAAGGTAAATAGTAAACAAATTAATTAAAATTACTACCAAAATATTAATTTGAATAATTTGGAATAAACAAAATTACTTTAAAATTTTCATTATTATCCATGCGAGGCGTCACTTTAACAACTTTACCATATTTTTTGAAAAAGTCTTCGATGGATTTCTTCGGGGGTCGATTGACCGTGTCAAACCCTTTCTAATTAATTAATTCAATGTAGTGAATCAAATAATCAAGATGATAGTAAATAAACTCATCAAAAAGGTTTAAAATTATTACAGCATAAATCGACTTCCACATTGGCCCGGATTTTACATGTTCTGGAATTGGCATCCTAATAGGAGTTTTTCTCCGAATTTTTGTACCAGAATCATCAACTTCTAATATTTCTGGAGATTCTCGAAGAGCTTCGACAATTAATGCATCATCTTTGTAAACCTGCATTTTTTTAAATTGACGCACTATGGCAAGTTGGACCCCTGAACACGTATAGTCCGTTAAGGAATGTGAATCTTTAGAGAAGTGATTAATCTCTGACGACAAATAAATGAAGGATACATCTTTGTGGATCTTTGCTACACAGTTCCTTTAAGAATTTATCCTTTGGGAAATTTTTATCACCAAAATAATATTCCACTTGTTCAAGAATGCGCCGTTTTTCTTCTATTTCCTCCGAAGTTCGTTGAATTGGCTCACTCGGAGTGATCTCTTTTAATGGATCGTTTGAATATAAGAAATATAGTTAATACAATAATAGTTGTTTATCGGCCCATAATATAAAATTTTTTTCGCTGAAATTTCATTGTATTGGTCTTAACAGTTAATAACAGTATGAATTTTAAGCTTCCTTAGCGCAGCAACTCGGCTTTTGAACTAAACATATGCTCACACTATTAAGTCTTCCTTCTTACTTGTATAGTTCATTACCTATAGCATTTGTGTCATTTATCGTTACACTTGAAGCTACCTCACCATCGTTTTCCGGGATTTCCGAATTCATGTTTCAAAAAATAGCACGGTATATAATACTGTAGAATGAGAATAGCGTTTTTTTTGATCAAAAAAAAAATCGATCTATGTATTCCAGTATCGTGGCACAAACCAATCGTATAATAGGCGTTTAGAAATTCTTTCCCCCGCGCCACCCAAGGGGCGTGACTAGTGATCTGCCGGGCTTGCAGATTAGAGATGCCGTAGAATCGTCCCAATGAAGTCGAATGATAGTTGTCACTGGCTGTAACTTGCCGTAACTATAGTAAGTAACATAGTAAAGTTACGACATTATAGCCATAACTTTACTTATTATTTACTATAGTTACGGCATGTGACAACTATCATTCAACTTCATTGGGACAATTCTACGGTATCACTAGTACCAATAGGGTCAATAAAATATTATTAAAAAAATCTGTCTTTAAAATTTAACAAAGATAACGCGAAAA